GCCATTTGGAAGACGAAGGGTCGCGTGGGCCCAACCCAAAGAACCGCCGCATCGGATCTCCCTGGAAGACACGGTCCCTGTTGGACCGGCACCTTCAGACACGGCGCATGCAGACGGGACAGCCTTGCACCTTGGAGTAACTCCTGACATGTTCTCGCATGTCTTCGACAGCTTTGGTCTCAGTCTTCTTGATCCGGAGAGACCGGCACTATCGAGCTTGCCAGACCACCTCCACAAATTCCTGGCAGATCTTCCCCAGCGGCGCCCGGGCACATATGACGCAGCTCAAATTTTCGTAGACGGCTCATACTTCCCGCGCACCGGCCACGAAGAAGCTCGGGCTGCCTGCACACTCTGTGTCCTCTTAAGACAGCAAAACACATGGTGCTGGGCGGGCTCTTTTACCTCGGCACTGCCTGTGCAAGGTTCCGACTCCTCGCTGGGAGTCTGCATCCAATCTTCCTATGAGCCCGAACTTGTTGCCGTCACTGTGGCCCTCGCTATGTCGGTACAGCTTCAAGTTCCTACCATGATAGGATACGATAATCAGGCTGCCATGGATGTGCCTATGGGCAAGGCGGTCGCAAATGTCGACACTAAGTTGGCACAGACGGCGGTGACTCTCACGCATCTCCTCCGCCTGCAAAGAAGAGTTCCAGCCCCCTTACACATCCAATCCCACACTGGGCACCCACTAAATGAAGCTGTGGATGGGCTGGCGAAGCATGCGGCCAAGCAGCAGTGCCCGCCACGAGTGCCCGGCATCCTCCACGAGGCTATGTCGGATGGTGTCCTGCCTTGGCTCTGGGCTGCCTGTCATATGCGCCAAGATCTTCCGCGCCCTTCGGCAGGGGGCACGGTTGTGGATTCGGACAAGCCGCAGAGTGGGCCTAACCTGAGCCAGTGCGCGGATTTCCAAGCAGGGGAGTTCCGGGAAAAGATACAGGTTGATATGCAGGTCGCCACGTACAACTGCCTCAGGTGTGCAGATGCCTTGCAGCGTGAGTCTTTAGATGCACAGTTCGCCAAAGCCAGGACTGTCGTTGTAGGCTTGCAAGAGACCAGAGCCGACCCCCAACCCCGTAGCCAGACGGCCCATTTTCATGTCTTGAGTGGACCATCCGATCGGGGGCAGCAGGGGTGTCAGATTTGGTTTGCCAAGCAGACCGCACTTGATGCAGGACGCCAGCTGTTCTGGAACCCGTCAGGGTTCTCCATCCTCTTTGCGAGCCCCAGGCAACTACTAGTTACTGCTGTAGCGGGCAGCCTGCAATTTGCTTTTCTTTCGCTTCATGCACTGACTGCAAAGGCGCCCAAGACTGACATTGCTGAATGGTGGGGTGAGGTTGCGAAAACAATCCAGCGAGTGCCGCCGCGACATGTCCTTGTGCTGGCCGATGCCAACGCACACTTCGAGTGGAGGGCAGGGCCGCCCTCACTTGCTACTGCACAAGAGGAGAATGCCCGCAGGTTCGCCGCGCTGCTGTCAGATCATGGACTGACCGCCACGCCAAATGTAACAAAGGCTGGTGTTAGGGTTGAAAGCTGGGCGGGCTACTTGGGCAAGCCCCGATGTCTCGACTACATCGCCTGTCCGGCGGGTGCGGCAGCTGGACTGCATGCTGCTGGAGTGATACGGGATTTTCAGGGTCATTCTGACTTTGACCATAAACCTGTGCTTGCGCGGCTTCGTTGGGTGCAAGGAGGGCGCCAGCCCAAGCCGCGACCGGCCTGGGACACGAAAGCAATGCTTACTGAGGAAGGGACTCGAAGGATCAAGGATATCTTCGATACAATGCCGACAGTCCCATGGGAGCTTGATGTGGACTCCCACCTCAGCATCCTCAATGCTCACATGGTCGCTGGCCTCACTACACATTTCCCTTGCCGCGCCAAAGCGCCCCGCTCTCCCGTCATCAGTGCGCAGACCTGGGCCTTAGTACAGGATCGGAGAGAATTGCGGCATGAATTGCATTTGCAAAGGCTACGTTCTAGAGCGGCTGAGCTCGCGGCCTGCTTTCAGGGATGGGCCGCTGCAGTGAATGGCGCGACCGTAGGGCGCCACAATGCCGGGACTTGCCTTGCACGGCACTATGAGGCCCTTCTGAGCATTCAGCTCGTGGCCCTTTCCAGAGCAATACGTGCCAGACACTGCCAGCGCCGCCAGAAAGGTTATGAAAGATGCCAGAAGCAAAGGGCCCGAGGCCTTTTACCAGGCTATCCGCCAGGTCACCCGGCAAGGCAGAAGGTATAAGCCACCGCCACTCCAGCCCTCCTTGGACAACACAGACGGCGAAGACTCGCTCCTTGTCCTGGGGAGACACTTCGCCAAGGCAGAGCGGGCCGTAGAATGTGCACTTCATGAGGTTTCCACAGAGGCAATCCCCAAGATGGCAGAACCGCTGGAGGCTGGACCCGATATGTCCATTGCCGCCCTCGTCCGAGGATTTGGACAGCTCCAGGCTGGTAAGGCGCCCGGTATTACCGGGCTGCCGTGCGAGGCATACAAGGCTGACCCGATGGGGGCAGCCATGGTCCTGGAGCCTCTCGTGCTCAAAGTGCAACTCCGGGGTCGAGCGCCCATCCTTTGGAGAGGCGGTCGTGCATGCCCTATACCAAAGCCTGGCAAGGCTCCATCTAGCACAGCAGCATGGCGGTCTATCATTTTGCATGAGGCCACCATGAAAGGAGTCTGCAAAGCACTGCGCGCTCCGCTCCTCCACGCTCTTGAACGTACCAGGACAGAAGGACAAGGCGGGTCACGGCCAGGGAACCCACTCCAAGCGCCAATGGCCATGGCCAGGGGCTTTGCACGAAATGCATTACAGGCGGGGGTCAGTGCCGGGCTGCTTTTCGTCGATGCTCGGAACGCCTTTTACGCTGTGGCCAGGCAGCTTCTCACAGGTGCAGAGGCAGGGGAGGCTGTCCCAGATTTGCAGTCCCTGGCAGCCCTGCTGTTCGAGACACAGGACGAGCAGCTGCGCTTCATTACCGCGGCCTTAGGGCCAGGTCTTCTTAAGACTTCTGGGGTGCCTACCGCGGTGCGCCGACTGCTTACCTCCATGTTGAATTCGACGTGGTTCACCGTCGAAGGCACCCAAGATGCCCATGCATTCCGCACACAAACCGGAACCGCGCCTGGCTCGCCGATCGCCGACGTGCAATTCCAGCTTCTGTTTTCCGGGCCGTTGCGAAGGCTTCAGGGGCGGATTTATCAGGCTGCTTTGGATGTGCAACTCCAGGCCCACGCCCATGATGATTTGAGCTCGCTCTCCACTTTGCCGGCTCCTAGCTGGATGGACGACCTTGCTCTCCCACTCCTTGCCCGGACCCCCGATGGATTAATCCAGCTTACTGCAAAGACGGTCGATTGCTTGAGCCAGGAGCTGAAAGACATGGGGGTGTCAATCAATTACGATCGCGGGAAAACTGAATTGCTGCCGCTGTTCCGCGGCAAGGGCAGCCGCATCGCCCGCCAGCAATGGCTTTGCCGCGCCGGGGCGCAATTCCCAGCGCAGCTGAGCGATGGCCATACAGTGCACATCCATATCACAGACGGATATGTACACTTAGGCTCACTCCTGGAGTCCAGCGGCAAAGACACACCTGACATCTCCCGCAGAGCCCAGCTAAGCAGGGACATGCTGCCTGGGTTGCGCCGCCTCTTCACCAACGATGAGCTCACGGTCGGAGAACGGACTCGGCTACTGCATTCCATGCCTATGGCGCGCTTCAAGCATGGATGCGGGCTATGGGTCTTGCAGAGTGCCAAAGAGAGAGAGCGCTACCTGGCGGCGTTCTATGAGGTTCCTCGCCGGCTGCTCCGTGCAATCACCGGAATTTCCGTCCGCGGCGTCTCTAACGAACAGCTGTGCGACCTGCTTGCGATTGCTAGCGCTTCTGAAGTCCGAGCAAGCGAGCTTGTTCGACAGCTCGGATGGATTTTGGCCGAACGGCAGCCGCAGCTGGAGTCTCTCTGGTTGGATGGGGGGCCGTGGCACAGCGAAGTTGAAGAGGCCCTCTTACGCGTTGGACCGCAGGAGCTCCCAAGCCTGGCCTGCAAATGGAGAGCCTTGCGCGAAAATCCCTGCCTGGCCGGCAAATGGGCTAAGAGCTTCCTCAAACAGTGCCGGCGGCGCAGATTACAGGTACAGGACATGAGGGTTCAAGAGGTCCGTGGGCTGCACCTCGCACGGCATCACGGTTGCATCTTTATCCATCATCCTCCATGTGCTACTGTGTTTCGCGACGAAACCGTTTGCACGATGTGCAAAAAGAGCTTCGGCACAAAGGCGGCATGCGCGTCCCACCAGCGCAAGGTGCATGGAAAGCTAGCGAGGGCTACAGCCGTGGCCAATGGTTCCCAGTGCCCTGTCTGTCAGGTTGAGTTTTGGAGCACTAAAAGGCTCCGACAGCACCTACAAAAGCAGACGGCGTGTCTAAGGGTGGTGGAGGCGTCGGACATCACCCCTTCTACATATGTGCAGGACATGCCAATGCTTCGGCGGCCCGCTGTGAGGGCACCAGGTCCCCTGCCCTGGTGGGCCACTCTTGACCCACCAACCCCGCCAGAGCCGCCTGGCACGGATAATCCAGCATCCGCTGCATGGCATGATCTTTTCCATGCCCTTCTTCACAACTCCATCTCCAGTCCTGACGTGTTGCAGCGCACCGTTCAGTTGATTGTTGAGAGGCGGGCGTTCCGCGGTCTTGCAAGCGAAGATTTTCCCGTAGAGTTGTGCCGCGCCCAGCCAAAGACGCAAGAGCTGGCGCAGATTTTGATCGACATATGTGACGGTGAGCTGAGCTCCCGTTCACTTTCCGCTACCAATTGGGTGGTTCACCGATACGGGGACCGGACCATCCTTTGGACGGCGGCTTTTCCCCTGATTAAGCTGCCTGCCCCATGGCAAGCATGTTTTTCAGGGTAGTCCGAGGACTTGCATGCTTGGTGCACTCAGAGAGTTCTGCCAACCCCTCAAAAAACCCAGCAACCCCAGGGTCTCACGGTATCCGATGCCGCCACCACGCCCAGGGCCCCAGCCTGCGAACTTGAATGTAGGTAGGGTTTAGGGTTTAGGGTTTAAGGGTTTAGGGTTTAAGGGTTTGGGGTTCACGGTTTAACGTTTAGGGCTTTAGGGTTTCAGGGTTTAGGGTTTAGGGTTTGGGGTTTAGGGTTAAGGGTTTGGGTCTAGGGTTTAGGGTTTAAGGTTTAGGGTTTCGGGTATCTGAAACGGGTTTAGGGTTTAGGGTTCCCTCACCGCCTTTTTTGGTGTAATCTGTGCTGTTTGGGCTGGGGTCTCCAGTCATTGTTGAATCTAATTTCAGGGTTTAGGGTTTTTGGTGTCTTGTAGACTCTCATGTTAGGGTTTAGGGTTTGTGTCGGTTTTTTCGCTTTTCCATGTTGTGAAGTTTGGAATCAAGTTTGTGAAGCAGAGTTCGTAGCTGACGTTGTAGAGTTTAGGGTTCAACCTAAACCCACCAGCTACCGCACCCTGATTAGACCGTAATACCATATAATGCTTTAAAGACGCAGCATAAATGTCCACAACAAGGGCTCCTTGAAGGTCACCTTGAGCGGATCGTGGAAGGTTCAGAGGCCCAAAAACTTGTTGCTTATGATAAGTCTGAGCGTCTTGCAGTCAGTACGCTTCTGGGCTGTGCATTTAGTTGGGCCGCAGCTTGGGATTTAGAGTCCTTACTATAGCATCCTAGATTCTTCGGCTTCCTTGTTCTAGTTATAGTATAGTATACCCCAAGGCCCTCTGCTAATTATTAAGGCTTCTACATTATCTAGGGTTCGGAGTTGAAGAGTCTAAGCAAAGCTACGGTTTAGGGTTTAGGCTTTGGGGTTTGGGTTTTCGTGTGCAGGGGTTGCAAGGATTCCAATCCTGAGCTGGGAAGCCTGGCACTTCGGATTGAGCGCTGATCGTTTAGCGTACGGGCCTTAATAATTTGAACAGGGCCTTGGTAAAGTATGGCAGTCTTCCTTGGAGGAACCCCAGAATAGTACCCGTAACACCAAGTTTGCCCACCTCCGTGGCCAGCGACGAGCTGCGTGAAGACCCCTAGTACATTCGAATGGACTGGGCGGTTTATTACCAATACCTTTTTGTCGTATGAATTTAAAAGGAGCCCAAACCCCAAGGCCCCTATATTTGACCAGTGCTTCTGCAACCAGTCATATGGTAAGTTGTCTTGGTTGCGTGGACGGTTGTGGAAGATCCTGCCTTAACGTTACGCAGATGTAATTCTGTGGAAAGGGAGTGGAGCGCGGGTGCTCTGATGATCCCAATCATGAGTTTGTTGCTGGAGACGTCGTTAACTTCGGATCCGGCAACCTATGCTACCCTTTTGACAGTCAGATGAACAAGAGAGTAGAAGTAGAGCCTTTTTTGGCTTTATTCCCAATTCACCCCGCGGTTGGATTCAAGGTTGCGGCCTGATGATTCGAACTTGCCCCGGCATCATGTTCGTTTCCTTCGCAGTTGGAACTTGGTCCACGTGTCCCCGACGTCTTATTATGATTCTTCTGCCCTGCTTGAGGCTGTGGTTTGGAAGTATGAAAATCTTAAACCTGAAAGCCCCAAATCCTAAAGTTCAAGACTCCAAGACTCCACCCACCACTCCATGCCACCCCGAGACTCAAGTCCCTATCTTGAAAGCGCGGGCATCTAATCTTCTACATGAGGTTGGACGCAGAAGCAGCCGCATCGAAGAAGCCATGCCGCCACACTTATCCAAAGCTCATCGAGCTTTGCAGTTTTAGCTTCTAGGGGTTAGAGCGTTCTGCCCGTTGCCAGTATAGATGTTTTTTGTTGCACCGGGGTTCCCTTGAATAGAGATCTCGCGAATCCCTGTGGTTGTTGGATCTAACTCCAAAGCCTTGATTAATCCGTTTGATTAACCCAGCAGAGTATGTTGCATAGACCCAAAACTCGCACCATTTAATCCCTGCACATCTGGGTCCTTGTTGGCTACAGTTTACATTTGTGTTACAAAACTTTTGTTACAATCAAAACCCATAAGGATTAAGCATGTAAGGTAGTTCAGGGCTTTGGGGAAATGAAGGGGCCTTAAGAATTACCTATATTATTTTGGGGGCTCCGTATTATTACCCCAAAGTCTTGTTCTAAAAGAAAGTCACCCAAAACCCTAAACCCTTATAGTGGCCCTTATAGAACCCCTCTGAGGGAACCCGTTAAAGAAGCCCCATAGCCCGATTCCAGGTATTAAGGCCCCTACACTATCTGGGTTTAGGGTGTAGGGCTCTAGAGTCTTAGGGCTAGAGGGTCCTGGGTTCAGAGCCCTGATTCCTGAACCCTTAGCACTTCTCTCCCCCTGATTAGGGTTTCGGGTTTAGGGTTTAGGCCTAAGGGTTTAGCGTTTAGGCTTAAGGGTTCAGGATGTAGGCTTTATGGTTGAGGGTTTAGGCTTCAGGGTCTTCCGCAGCAACAAGGCTTTAGGGTTTAGGGTTACAAGCTCAAAGCCAAGCTCTTCCCGAACTGCAGCCTCTTCGGGCCAAACGGCTGCTCGGGAAAAGGCAGGGGCTATCGATACGATTCCTTCGGCCCGCTTCCAGAATCCCTGAGGGAGTTGCTGAGACTGCCCTGGCCACACCGGCTGCCAGGCAGAGCCGACACCGACGTCACCCAGCCCCGAAGGGTTCGCACGGTGGCGGTGCAAGGCTCCCCTACACCCTAAACCCTAAACAGCAGTGGCTGCTGCAGCGCAGTTTCGGTCAGGGAGCTTCTTGAGAAGCCGCAGCGTGCGCCGTTTTAAAGGTCGACTGATAGAGGATGCCGATTTCAAGGCCTGCTGTCCTACAAACCTCCTATGTAGTACCCTAAACCCTAAACCCTAAACCCTAAACCCTAAACCCTAAACCCTAAACCCTAAACCCTAAACCGTATTAGGGAGGGTCCATGTCCCAAGATTCCCCCCCAATGCCTAATCCTAACTCCCCCCTAGAAACCAAACGGTTCAATTCTTGGGGTGCTCTTTTAGAAGGTAGTTTTCTTCTAAGTTCGAACTGCTTTCCGCATGAATCTTCCTAAATCAGAACCCAAAGGGTCCAAGTTATAGCATAGTATCTAGTTTTGGGGCTCAAAATACCGACAACGTAGCTACCATATTCCTACTTGGACCCTTTGGGAAACTACACCCAGACTGGGCTCACCGGGTCGACAGCCCTTGCCAGGACGCGGCCGGGAGATGCTAAGAGCTGCCTCGCACCCTCCACGGTGGGGATTACCCTGCTTCGGGTTTGCGCTTCAGGGTTTAGGGGTTAAGGGTTTAGGGGTTTAGGGTTGAGGGTTTAAGAGTTTAGGGTTTAGGGGCTTAGAGTTCAGAGTTTAGGTCTGTTTAGGGTTTAGGGGCACAGGGCTTGGGGTTTTGCGGCTGAGGGTTTCGGCTTTAAGAGTTGCTTTTGCCAATTCCTGTTGTTTTGTTCTTGGTGTCTCTGCAGAGGTGATTCAGAACGATAATGAAGGGTTATGAGCAGCTCCTTGACCATGGTCCGTGGGATTTCGCTTGTGGGTTTGGGTTCTGGGGGTTTTGGTCTTGGCCGTTTAGCGGTCATGCGAGGGGTTTAGAGTTTTGTTTTCTAGGTTCTTAAGGTTCTGCGATATAGGGGCCTCAATAATTGCCTGTACTATTTTGGGGTTCCTTCCTGAAAAGTGCAAGAAAGAGCAACTCAGCGACAGCTCTGCAGAGCAGTTTTCAAATTTTCTCAGAGACGCGGAGCCGGGGTGAACCCTAAACCCTAAACCCTAAAATGACCCCAGGGAGTGCCTTCGTACGATGCAAAATCTACGAATCTGCAACCCAAACCAGAGGAAGATAGGTTTAGGGTTTAGTAGCTGCAGTCTTAGGCATCAAATCATGCTCAACTTAGACCTATAGGCCCCTGAACCCCCAATTGGGTTTTGGCAAAACCCCTAAGCCCTAAACCCCAAAACCCTGGCACCAAGATAGAATACCCCAAAAAGATCTCTTCACCTCCGCACAAGGCAGCCCAAGCAGGCCCTCACATCCTACAATCACACCATTGTCAGCCTGCAAATCAAGTAACCGGGGTTTGGGGCTTAGGTGTTAAATTACATCCCTGACGACTAAACCCCCCTCTCTTGAATTCAATGGCCTTATAATCTTTGAATCCCATGTATAAACCCTTTAAGAAAATAAGAAAGAGCGGCTTTTCAATCAGGGTCTACATTAGCCTTGTCAGTAGCGCCCAACCCCAATGACGAAAGAATGAAGCAAGACCCCCAACCCCAAACAGCCACTAGAAGGCGATGACGTCGTCTGCTGCCAGCAGCCTCGGGGCACTCTTTGCCAAGAACGATGGGAGGTGCGATCATAGAGCAGTTTCTTAGTTCAGTAGAGAGTGCGATAGACCCGACTGGAAATAATACGGGAACAACTACCCATATCACTCCTTAGTTCTACTAGAATCACCAGAATCTAGCCCAAAACCCTACTTTAATTGTCATGCTCCTTACTATTCAGGTGTGGTTCTGGTTTTATCCTGATTTCTTGAGTGTAGAATAGAGACGAAGCAGATAGCGGGCCGGACGATGGCCCAGAGGAATGCAAGGGAGGGGCCAGTTCTCATCTTAATTATGGAAGGGCCGTCAGCACTAAGCTGAGAGGCCTTCGGGCTTTTGGAGTATGCTATAAGCTAAGTTATCGCCTAATCACATTAAGGATACATTCTACATTCGGCAACCCTAAACCCTAAACCCTAAACCCTAAACCCTAAACCGAAAGGCCTATTCTACATTCGGCCCATTGGAGTTCGGTCATAGCCCGGCAAGACTCTGTGGCCCTCAGAGCCTTGGAGGCTCGTGGGCCCTAGAGCCATCTTGCAGATGGTCTTTGGGCCTCGGGTTTAGGGTTTAGGGTTTAGGGTTTAGGGTTTAGGATAGGGCCGACCCCTGAGGGTCCAAGTGCCTAAGAATTATCATATATGCTCTCCCAAATATGAACATATAGATAGCTACCATCCGGAATCAAAGGACCCGATTATTGGATCTTTTGGACCCTTAGGGTAAGGTTTGAGGTGCAGGGTTTGGGAGTTAGGCTTGAGTGCAGAACTAAATAGGTGTGAATGAAGGCTTCCGGGATGTTCAGGGTGTAGGGTTTAGGTTTAGGGGTTGTACCGGCTCCTCATTGTGATTTCCCTGAAAAAGTTTTCAAGCATCGTAGGTTATTTGGGGTCCCGGTCGTGTTTTACGAGGGTCAACCACCCAAAACATTGACATCAAACACCAAACGACGTGTCTAGGGTTGTTTCTGAGTTTGGTTTTGTTGTGTTTAGGGTTTGAGTGTTTTTGTTTTGTTTGGGGGGGGGGGGGGCTTAGGGCAGCAATGCATAGCATAAATCCCGAGCCCGAGATACCAAGCTGCTCACTGCCCAACTCACTCCGCTGCCAGGTCCGCCACCGATGCCCTGCACTCAGAAGAAGATTCCGTCTTATCCTTCGGCTTCGGTCGGTTTTAGCGTTAATATGGGAGTTTCCGAAAATAAGGGGTACCTTATTTGGGGGTCCTTATAATAGGGATCCTATTATTTAGGGTACTATATTAGGGTCCCCTATTTTCGGAAACCCCCATATAGCAGCCAGAGTAATTACAAATAGTTCTTAGAGCTCGCTACTAAATTGCAAGTATATTATAATATTCCCAAAACCAGGTTCTAGTGACTAGGCTGCCTAAATCATGGAACTAGGACCGTCAGGCATTGAATACCTGATGATGAGTGGTACTGCTTGATGCTTTTGCTGATGGGGTGCTACCACTGGAAGTAGGCAGCTACATCAGTTGCAGGAGGAAACGTATGGCCTTCTGTGCACGGAAAGCCAATTCCGAAACCCCAATACAAAGGCCTTGATACTCAGTTCTATGTGGTGCCTCACTATGAACATACCTAACGACCCTGGTAGAGCCATCAATGCCTCTAAATTTAAACCCGACGTCCGGTCCCCAAACCATGAAAACCTCAACACTGATTTGGCAGGCATCCAGCGGCCAGGCAAATCTGTCTACCGTCCGAGAAGACGAGGCCAGAGGGAATGACCCTGCTTACGTGTTCAGATTTGGGTGTAAACCCTAAATCCTAAACCCTAAACCTAAACCGTTTAGGGGTTTCCGCGGGTTAGGTTTGGGGGTTGTTCGGCTCGGGGCTTACGGGATCCGCCAAAAAAGGGTCCATCCGGAGTTAGAGTCTGAGCTCAGCTGAAGTTCAAGCATCAGGAGCAGTGGCCATGTGTAGAGATCCTGAAATTCACTTTCTTCATCTAGGACATTATCAGGTGGGTAGTCACCGTTTTAGGCGCCTTATAGAAGGTCTATATACCTTATAGAAGCCTTATAGAAGCCCTATATACCCTAAACTCCCCACCTGTAGTTTCGTTTAATTTCAACAGTAAGACTCTACGAACCTGTTGGATTCCATGCTTGGCGTGCAGCAGAAAGGTTCCTGGTGCTACATGGCATTTGGCCCAAAACCCTGATCGAATTCTTACGGCTCTTACCTTTAGCCATATCATGCCTTCAGACAACAAGCTTATAAGACCATTTACCTCTTGGACGAACAACTCATAAACCCTACACAATCCTTATGAACAAAGCTTTGACTTCTAGTTACTCCTTGACAAGACTTGTAGTTAAGCTTACGATTTATTGAGTGGTGTATACGGGAACGCTAAACCCTAAATCCTTAAACCCTGAACCCCTAAACCCTAAAACCCCTACACCCCTAAACCCTATACCCCTAACCCTAAACTTGAGCGGGTTGAAGTCAACGAGTGAGGCCCGAGATCTTCGGTGTTTTGGGATTTTGAGGCAGCAGCTGGGAGCTTTTTTCCCACAGTGGTGAGATCCTCGTTTTTAAGGTTTAGAGCCTTTTTTTGGGGGGGGGAGGGGGGGGGGTTTAAGGTGTAGGGTATAACGCCGTTTAGGGTCTAGGGTGAGTTTTTGTGTTTATGGGGGGGGGGGGTTAGAGTTGAAGGTTCAGGGTTTAACGTTTAGGGTGTAGGGTGTAGGGTGTGTTCTGCACCACTGGTAGCTAGGTCTCTGACCGTATAACTGCAGTTGGTTGGCCAAAAAATGAGACTTACAATGGAAACTAGAGGAACTTTAGTACTCCTGTGACTTTCTGATAATGCCTGTCCTAAACCCTAAACCCTAAACCCTAAACCCTAAACCCTAAATTCATGTTTTTCTTGCGAATAGAACGGTAAGGTTTGCAGCATGCACAGAGTGCCTGCTTTGGGAGACTCGCGTCTCGAGATGTGCAGTGCCTGCTTTTCTTTCAAGTCTTAGGGTTTAGGGTTTAGGGTTTAGGGTTTAGGGTTTAGGGTTTAGGGTTGTCCCCTTAAGACCTTTGTGCAGGTTCAGTCAACATTCCTATTTCACAAGAACACCAGTTTACAAGTTCCACAAGAACACTCATGAAAACACACGCAACCCATGAACACCCCGACATCTTTATGCTGATAGCACTCCGAAACCCTTAAGTTCTGGAATATACCTTCAATCGGGTAGACCTTTTCAATCCTTAAGTTCAGGAATCTACCCGTAAGTCAGGAAGCCCCTAAACCCAAACCCTAAAACCTAAACCCAAACCCTAAACCAGAACCCTAAACCCCAAACCCGAAACCCTACACCCCGGAGCCAAACCCTAAACCCTAAACCCTAAACCCTAAACCCTAAACCCTAAACCCTAAACCCTAAACCCTAAACCCAAACCCTAAAGTAGGAGGGGGGGGGGGGTGGAGTCTGGAAATGGTCAGGAGTCAGCGACTGTGGAGGCCTTCGGCTCGGCTACGGTAGGAAATCTCAGAGTTGTCCGGTTTAGGGCAGGGTTAGGGTTTCAAGGTTTAGGGTTTAAGGTTTAGGGTTTAGGGTTCAAGGTTCAATGTCTAGGGTTTTAGGGTTCAAGGTTCAGGGTTTAGGGTTTAGGGTTCAAGGTTCAGGTTTCAAGGTTTAGG